AACTTAAAATATTTCCTTGAAATTGGCAATTTTGGGAATCATAAAAAAGCATATAGTCTGCTCTAATTTTGGATGACTACAATGGGAGCTCAGGGATTTGGAAAGTTAAAAAAAAATCTCAGTATGAATGTGTGTTAAGCTGAACTAAATATTTTTTGGTATCACATGGATAGAATCTTTGCATACTATGCACTTTATAATTTTTAGATTAAAAAAACTGAAGAATCTGTTTATTCTTGTAAAATTCACTGTTCAAAGGTATGAACAAATTATGTTTCCACTAAAAATATTACAGTTTCACTTAGCGCTAATTACATATACGGAACATACACCAGGATTTGTTTTATGGACTTACGACCAATTGAAAGTAGAGATCACACTTTCATGATGACACATCACAAATATAAATCACAAATACAAATGTTAACACTGATTAAGGTGTATATAATACTATGTGTAGCACTGCTCTAAGTCAAGATTTTATAAAACAATTTCACCATGACATTTTAGGCTGTTTTGTATATTTTACAGACTGACACAAATATAATTAGTTCAGTGCTTACAGTATTACTAAAGAAATATTTATCAATTACACTTATGGGACTTGGTTTAAAATAGCATATAAGAAACCTTAAATTTTATAATTAAACCTCTTTTTTTTTTTGGAGGGAGGAACTTCTCTATATTTATTATGGAATAGATTAATGGCAATAGACAATGAAAAAAGAATTAAGGTTTTATCATATTACATAAGAGTTAAACTAAAAAATTGGATGCCATATTCTTGAAGCCCTTTTGTATAAATAACTTTCATAACGTGGCTGTAATGTAATATGAATACATCTTAAATTACTATTATCAAAAGAATTAATCTGGAAAGTAAAATTCATTAACCAAGTCAAGGTCATGCTAATTCGTAAGAAATTAATCAGGTAGTTTAACACTCGTGCTAAATCCCTTGTGTAGCACAAAATAATTATCTTCAATAAATACCTATAAATATAATCTATTCGTAATTTTAAATATTTTAACATTTAAATTGAAAAATCTCACATATAATCTTGGCTAACTTTCCATGTATGTATTGAAAAAATATATGATAGCATTAATATATTCATATTTAAGTATGATTTCAGATGTTCTTAAAAGAGAAGACATGAAATTTTCACACAAAAGCTAAGCAGCACAACATAGTCCATGGTAATTTTCCTCTTATGAAAAATTACTTGATTTTTTTGCATAGGATTAAGACTGGATATATTTTTCTACATTATTACAATTTGCTCAGGGGTACTTCTTTAAACACAGATCACGAAATAAATCCCTGCTGCTCCCACCACTTCCTCACATCTAGCAATAACAGAATTCAGAGGCCAGAAAATGACTCAAAAAATAACGGTCATAAAAAATAACAGTTAAGAAAAAAATCAGATAAGTAGTAAAGCAATTCAAAATCAGTTAATATTTTTGCATTTTGAAAGGTTTTTAAGTATTTAGAATTATAATGAATATAATACATATATGCTAAAACTTCAAGCTTATTTCATCTTTTTAGTACTGAAAAGGAGATACTACTATTTGAAACAAGAGTTTCATCTTTTACACATTATCACAAAAGTTCATTTTTTTCATATTTCAAACACTCTATTTACCTGCAATAGCAATGACCTTATCCATATTACTGGCTACTTAATATATACATGCAACAATATACTTAAAAGTCATCTAATTTTTAAACAAATTTCATTGTATTTTCACATTAAATGGTTAAACATGGCCTTAAGAAAGTGCAATTTAAGGAACAGGAAAGTATTGGAAATACGCTGTTTTCACTTGTCCACTAAAATAGTATGTCTATAGTGTTTACCCTTAAAAGTTACCATCCAACTGAATTCCTGCTAAGAACTAACAAATGATAATTAAGAAGAGAAGAATATAACTAAAATAAAGAAAACGAAGAGCTCAATTAAAGTACAAGATATTAAAATTCATGAAGAAAACAGAACAGAGAATCACAGTAATTTACCAATGCAGTAGTAGGGAAAGAGCCACTGGTGGGAAAGGTAGCCTTCACTAAGTGAAGTCCTTCTATTTTTTGGCAGCTGGATTCAGCAGTGCTTAATGTGGGTAAATTTAGAAACGTTATAATTTCAAGAGGAGGAATGCATATATAATTGTATCTTGTTTGCAACTTTCTATTTTAATAAGAACAAATGGAGTTTTACAAAATGTAGGGCATTCTAACTAAGGTTTGAACAGACTGCAATTTAAATGGAGAATGCCAGCACTGAAAAATTTTATGAATAATTCACATGATTACATGTTTCTAGAGTAGATTTATAATTAACCACTTATCCTAATGTCCTTCATGCTTGTAAATTGCTCCCTGCTGAATGGCTGAGCAGGCAGGAGGACATCTCAGGAAGGGAAAAGGAAATGACCAACCCTATAGAGATTTTTTAAGATTCTGTGGGACCTCAGCAATTCCCTATCACTGCTCTGGTCCTCTCTCCACTGGAGACCATCACTCCGTGGAAGGGAGGTTTCCCGACTGCTGCGGGTCTCCAGGTGCATGTCTCAGGTCAGACTAGGTAAGTAACTGTGGATTTATCCCACAAGCAGTAATAAATTTGTGACTGTAATATTTTCATTTATCATTTGAAACACACAACCCAATCTACAACAGTGTCAATGGCTTTATACAAAAGAGGAAGGCACCTTAGATTGGCATCATGAGTGTTAACGCTTGGGGATGGAGCAGCAACAGTATGGCTTAGTGGTTAAAAGTGTAGCCTCTGGACTTGAAAGTTGACTTTGCCACTTACTGTGTGACCTTGGTTACTTAACTTTTCTAACCCTCACTATCCTCATATGTAAAATGAGGATAAGAACTATCTACCTCACAGGGTTGTTACAAGTATTAAATGGGACAGTGCAAGTAAAGTGCTTAGAACGGTGCTTGGCACACTATAAGCCCTCAGTGAACCTCACTAAAATCCCATATTATAGAGAGTAGCAACTGGCTATGGTGCAACAACATGGCTGGTTGACAGCTCTTTGTATGTAAAGTTGACACTTTCCTTCTAACTAGGAACAACTGTAAGATTTCCAGGTACTATGTTAGAAATAGCAGTTTTGGAGGCAGAATATTACTGAATCATCACCCTGATCAACATATTATTATGCAAATGAAACTGCTCTGTAACAAAATTAAGAATAAAATCCTTCATGAGGTATGCATTATTCAGTAGGTATTTTCTGTCTCCAATGCATTTTAAATATAATTTCAGGGTTAATCTGTCTTTTTATTTGTGTGTATTCACATAATCACATTGATTCATACAATTAATTAGTCTCCAAATCCTATTTTATGAGAGATATATAGAAATGTTACCATATACCCTTACCTAGAAGGTAATGTAACATGTCCTTTCATTTATTTTTTTGTAATTGCTTTTTTATTTTTTACAACACAAAAATTTATACACACATTGTTATGTGACTCTAACTGCTCTCCCCTTACTGTGACAACACACGCCTCCTTTCCAA